GATAATCTTCAGCAGAATCTTGCTTGCTCATGATATTAATGATATTGTATGCAGTGTGTGCGGGGAGGGGTACATTGCAAAGAGAGTGGGGAGAGAGTTAATTGTGCAACAATGAACTAATATTTTTTAAAAAATGTAAATGGAGGGAGAGGAAGTAAAAGGTACAACAAAGAATGCATGAAAAACCTAACTTCTCTGTAAATTTTTGTTAAAATCACAATTAAAATAAAAAAGTTAAAAAGATATTGTATATTATCACATTAAATATCTGAAAAACTCAAGCTCAGTGCCTTTGAGATGGTTCCACCTCAAAGAACCCTCCACTGGGTTTTTGGGCTTGTAAATTGTAATAAGAGGAACCTATTCATTTTTCTACCACGAAGCTGCTGGTAGGTCCACACCTTTTGGGTTAACAGTGCAACTGGCCACTAGGCCTCTTCATGCAATACGTAGAATAAGTAAATGTAGAAAAAAGAATGCAGCCCTGGAGGCACCATGAGTTAAAGCACTTCTTGGCTGTAAAATGGAAGGTCAACAGTTTGAACTCACCAGCTGCTCTGCAAGAGAAAGATGTAGTAGTCTGCTCCACGTGTATAGCTTTGTATGGGACAATTCTACCCTGTCCTATGGTCACTGAGCCTGAATCACAATGGTTTTAGGTTTTGGTTTAGTGGAGACTAAGAAATGCCTAGGTGTTGTGCATGGTTAACATGCTTGGTAACTAACAAAAAGGTTTGAATCAATCTGGAGATACCTAGGAAGAACTTAAAAGAAAATGCAGCCTTTAAGTACTCTAGGGACACAGTTCTACTGCAACACACCTGGAGTCCCTCACCATCAATCTACTCAGTGGCAATGGGCCTGATTTTGCCTTGGTATATTGAGAACAAAATTTGGAGAGAGTAGGAAAGAAGGAATTCTTGTTTAAAGGGCACTAACATGTGCTTGCTTTGGCAGCACATATACTAAAACTGGAATTATACAGAGATTAGCATGGTCCCTGTGCATGAATGACACGCAAATTCTTGAAGTGTTCTTGAAGTATAAAAGAAAAAAAAAAGCACTAATGTTAAGGATGATGGTAAACATTGGACAGTGTTGATGGTGGCACAACATGGTGAATGTGATTAATATTACTAAATTGTACATGTAAAAAAATACTGAAATGGCAAATGTTTTGCTACATACTATTTCACTGCAATAAAGCAATTATTAAGAAACCTGAAGTAACAACAAACCTTTTGTCCCAGTTTCTGAGGTTCAGGAATCTGGAAATAACTTGGGTAGATGTTTCTGGCTTAGAGCTTCTGAAGAGATTGAAGTCCAGTTGTTTTTAGTAGACATTACTGTTATCTCATGACTTACATGGCGCTGGAGAATCCATCTCCAAGCTCACTCACATACTATTGGTACTTTGCTGGCTGCTGGGCCAGGGACTTGTAATTAAATGCATCTCTCTATGTGCTGCCCATGTGTCCTGAAAACTGGTTTTCCATAGACTTATCCAAAGGAAGGCAAACACATTGTCTGAGAAGGAATTTAATTTCTTTTGAACGTTTTGGTCTTATAGACCAATCTTGATACAGTATGGAAGGGAATTTACTATATATAAAAAGTGACTATCAAAAGGCAAGCTTCACCACAGTGGCTATCAAATTTCTAAGGTTTTTTATTCTATAGAGTAAGAGTTTTATTTTAAAATGGATCTTTCAGTTAGTATTTATGCTAAGCTTGATATGCTGTCCTTTGCAGCTACTTATATTTATAAAGGAATTTTTTATTGCAAGAAGAGTTTTGAAAAGTTTTTAAAAATTGTGATAATAAAAGTTTGAAGACCACACTGCCTTAGACAGCAGTTCTAGTAGTTTAATATCCAGTGTGTCCTCCCTTTCATGTTTCACTGGCTCTTTATCTCCCCCCTGTGGTGTTCTTTTATCTTAAAGGTATGAACTGATAAATGAAAAATGTTGAAATTAAAACTAGAATCAGTCCTGCTTTGTAAATGGAAAATACAACTTGAAATTTGGACATGACTGCCCTGAACATTTAGGGATGCTGCATATCATGCTGTTAGGTGCCATGGAGTTTGACTCATTAGCGACCCTAGGAACAAAAGATCTGAACCTTGTTCTATCCTGTGCCATCCTTACACTTCCTGACACACAAGAGCCCATGTTAAGAACTAGGAATTTGGACTTCTAAAATTAACTTGTTATGGACCATTTATGACCAAGGATAGCTCAGTATTGTAGCTGCGGGGGTGGGGTGGGAATACATCAAAATACTAGTCTACAACCTACTAAAGTTATAACCTAGAAAGTAGAGTGCCTAGATATTCAGAGAAGAAACGTAGTATTTTAATTGTATATAATTTGCAGAAGTCAAAGTCAAATTCTGTTCACTTTATTTGGTTTATCATCACCACATTAGGTGCCCCTAAATTGACTACTCACAGGAACCCTATGAATAATGGATCTGAGCTTTGCCTTATTCTTATCCTTACTATCTCTGACATGCTTTAGCTCATTGTTTCCACCACTGGGTAAATCCCACTTGTTGAGGGTCATCTTCCTCTGACCTTTCACTATCCCAGCATGATGTCTTTTCCAAGACTAGCCCCTTCTGACAACATGCTCAAAGTGTGTGACAGCACATTTGACCATCCTTCTGAGGAGCACCCTGGTTTCACTTCCTCCAAAGACAGACTTGGTAGTACTTTTACTAATCCATGGGATATTCCATAATCTTTTTCAACACCACAAGTCAAATGCATTGCCTCTTCTGTCATCCTTATTGTCCAACTTTCAGAAGGCATTTTATATCCCAGATAAGAACTGGTTTAGTTGACCTAAATCCCAAATGTACAAAGCCAGTAATGATAGATAACAGATGTTTTAAATGCTCAGAACTTACTGAGGCATACCACAATGAACACAAATTTGAACAATTCAAGTCTTTTAGTACGAACTAGTAAATCTGACTTCTTGTTGTGTACTGTCAAGTCAGAACTGACTCACTGCAGTCAGTTTGTGGGTTTTCAGGGGTAGTAAATCACATGAAAGGTTGCCAATCCTTCCATGGAGCAAGAGGTGGATTTGAACCATGTGCCTTTGGGTTGCAGTGCAGCTCCTTAACACTAGGCCGCCAGAGCACTCTAGAAAATCTTACTAGGAATACTATTTTATTCCTAACAATTTATCATTGGATAATGAAGGAAAAACCCTGTATCATTCTCTATTAACTTAAGAGGAAATGTGCTATGCTCAAACTGTTTAAAATAATTTTTAGAATTATTAGAATATCACATCTTGCTTGTTGTTGTTATGTGCCGTCAAGTCGCTTGCGACTCATAGTGACCCTATGTACAACAGCCCTAAACTCTGCTCTGTCCTGTGCCAATCTCACTGTCTCTGACACTCCCATTCCAATTATCCCAGTCACTGAATCAATC